TTATTATTATATTATATTATATTATATTATATATTTCCCCCCCACAATTTATTTTATTTCGAACTATTAAAAATACAAAAGGAAAATCACATAATAAATATACAAATGAATAACAATAAACTAAAAACCAAATCAACAAATACAAAAATGTTAACATATATTCAACCCGTTCGAAATAAAAAAGGGTAGGTAGAAGCCCTAGGCTTATTAAATCCTACCCTCAGTAATTACCGATACCAAATCACAATCGGCCATAATAAATCAGACATACCATTTTGAATAATACAGAAATACTACTCCAAATTACGTCCTACTTTATCTATCTATTAAGATAAAGAAGACAAACAGAAACAAAATCAAGCAGCATTAACAACAATGTTGAAATTCTCACTCTCACCCCCCACTTCTGTATTTATCAAAAATAAATATTTTATACCTTCTTTTAAATTGCAACATATTAACACTTTCTTAGATATATCCGTTTAATCTATTCCACGATATCACCCCACAAATCGAAATACACATACTTTTTAGTTTTGTCCGTGCATTTTGCTGTCTCATATTTAAAGCCCCTCTCAAGTTTACTGTCAGTTCTCCACTTTCCTATATAATAAAAGCCAATAAAAAGTTAGAATGGCAGTGGATTACTACTATATTGTGGTGGAAAAAGGGGCAGGTTAAAATGAATTCCAGTTAAACAATGTATGGGTGTGCATGCATGTTTAGTTAGTTAACTTTTTAATTTCTTTGTGTTTCGTTTTGTTAAATACTACCATTATGGAGCTGGGGTCCACTTGGACCCCATATTAGTGAGAGGTAAGTTATTCATTTTTATGTGTACGTATATGTGTGGGTGTTCATCCTTTATGTAGCATCAGCACATCACATAGACTTTATTTGCAAAGCATATGCGAACTTTCCCCGTTTTCCTTCCCGTCACTCTGATAAATAACCGCTTTGAGACATTTTGAGTAATCAGGATTTTAAAAAAAAGTTTATTTGATAGATGCCCTAGTGTGTTCATTTCCGATTCAGACAGTGAAATGAAAGTGAATTCATCAATTCAGAAAGCACTTTAGTTTTTTCAGAAAGCACACTAGTTTTTTTTTTTGTTCTTAGGCAGAAACCTTTAGCCTCATGTCCTCTAATGTATTTGTCTCGAGCATTGGTCTGAAGAAACCATTAGAATCGAATTCTGTCTTTATTTGGGCCATGCGTCACTGCAGAGAAAATAGATTTGAAATAGCGGTGACTATAAAGAGAGAACTCTTTCCTGGAGACTAAAAGATCACTACATCATCCTTTATAGAAAACCACACAGGTTGTTTTTTTTGTTCTTTCTCCCTTTTCTATTCCAGCATATTAAATGGACAACAATAGTGAATGGAGATGATAATTACTTAAGATTTCCATCTGCTCGCCACTGTGGTTCAAATTGAAGCACTTAAAACTGAATTATGTCTTTTATAACTTAAGGCTTTTTTAAGATCTCCAAAACTCTGGGTATAAAGTGTGTTCTCCTATAGCTTTTTTTTTAAAATTTTTTTTTTTTACATCAATTAGGGATTTACATTTTGGTTGTGATTTGAACTAGGAAATGATAAATAATATGTATCGTTGTTATTATTATTATGGGCATTAGAATTTTTCTTTGTGCTTATTTTTTTTTTTATATATACTCCTAATTCCAAATTTAGTGAAATGCTGTCATCTCTTTTTCTGTGCTCTGGTGTATTTTTATTTCTCTGAGCCTTGTTTTCATTCAGGTAAAGTTATATATAACATTCCACCCTTGTTAAGGACTTTTACGCAAGGCCATACTATGATTTCCATTTAATTTGATTAATTGAAAACCAATCTGTAATATACTTTCTTTCATGAAAAAGCCTTTAACCAAAAAACCTTTCAGTCTTAAATCAAAATCAAGAAAATAGTCCCTTATCTGCACTTAGTAGATGACCACTACATAAATTCACTAATTAAAACGTATAATTTTTTTTTTCAAGAAGTACTCCTGCAAAAGTGACAATGACATGAAAAGCTTTTTCTATGAAATTAGTGTCACGTTAAATAAAACTTATGAGACAGGCTGGCTGAGATTTAGCTGTTCAAAGCCTTCTAATCTGTTATTTGTGAAACTCATTTATCATCTAGAGTGAAAGAGAGCGACACTGATGATGTGGATACCGCTAATGGGGTCCTAAAGGCTGCCTTCTTTCCCTCCTCTGTCTCTGGGTTTGTTGGTAACGTCACCTTTTACCTCCTAGCTGAGGGTTATGGTGTGACAATGGCCCTTATCCTTGAGATTTTATTGACACTTAAAATTGCTGTGTGTGCATTTACATATATGCTATTCAACGCATAATGCAATTAAAACTTTCTGTTTTAAAAAATTTCCTGTAGGATTATCCAAAGTTACGTGCTTCGAGAAGAGTCTGGAGCACTGTCTTCAGAAGCCTCGGATTTTAACAAAGCCCACCTGAGCCGGAGGGGAGGTATCATGGCGTCGTTGTACACCTCCCACCCTGCCGATAGCGGCCTCACTCTCGACCTCTCACTGGAAATCAACCGCAAACTCCAGGCTGTGCTAGAGGACACCCTGCTCAAAAACATCACACTGAAGGTATAAGTTACCATCCACATCCACATCATCCATCCCATGAAATCAAAATGGGAGTTTCATGGCTTGTAGGGCATGTCTGTTAGTTTCAAAACCACTTATATGCTCGTATACACTGGGCGAAAAACTGTATCATATCAAGAATTGTGATAAAGTTTGTTGATAATGATGATAAGCCCTGGACATTTTTACTCAATGTAGATTAATCTAACAGCCTATCACACACAGCAGAAATAGACAAAACAACAGTCAGTCAGTGCTTGTCACTAACAAGTCTCTGTGTGAATGAGAGGTTTTGTGATGCTCACTGTTTTCAGCATCTGCCATCTCAATATACGAGGACAGTCCATGTGAACTAACTTCATCTCCAGAGCTGCTCCTAGAGTCACTTCACAAGCATTTCACCATTTTATTTGAGAAGAAACTACTGTCAAATGCACACTGAAACTGAAAGCTCTTCATGACAAACTGTCAAAATAAAAGTTTGGTTTAACTTGAAGAAATTATGACAAAAATATATTACTAAATGAAATAAAACAAAATAAAAATGTAATTATTAATGATAATAAATTATTATTTTTTAATTTTTGTTTGTTGCCCAGCTCTAGTATGAAGGTGTGATCACATTAACCAAAAAGGTCCATTGTAAATAGTGCCGCGACTTACAAAGCACCATTCCCACAAAAGTCAGTTTGAAACCACATAGCTTTCTGTTTGTCAACACAGTGAATTTGCATGGTCAACATGAATACGAGCAAAATATGCGTGAGGAACTATTGTGCCATTACACAAAACTCAAAATTGCGCTGCTTTCACCTTAAAAGTTGATTTACGCAGATTCATGGCTGTACAAAACAAGCAGCGAGCCCAGTATTAAAATTCTGTAAGCCAGTAATTATTTTCATGTTATAGCCAATGTTAAAATGTCATAATATTTTGTCTAAATAAATTTGAAATGAAACACTTTAATCAAAAATCAGTCATTTTGAATGCTACGAGTGGATTTAGGCATCACAACATTATAATGTACAGTAAAAAAAGACAAATTTGATATTTGGATTACTAAGCATTAGATGATGGCAAAGGTATTATGTACAATATCTAAAAATTGTTGATGCCGATAAATATTTTGTATCAGCCAGTAACTCCTATGGTACTAATATTTTGTTTATTCCTAGACGAGCCCCTTAATGTGTCCCACTCAAACCTCCTGATTCAAAAGGAAGTACATAAACGCCTAAGAGTAAACTGCACTCGTCAAGTGATTTCACGGGGTCTCTATGTCCTTTCACAGCATACTTTTTTTTTGAGCAAATATTGATATATTTATGTTAGTATTGAGTTCCACAATGGCATCCGCTGATGTACAGTAATTGCAATTATCAAACTAAGCTTCTGCAAAACTAGATTCCTGGTGATCGGAAGAAAAGCAAATTTGGTGGTGATGGATGACTGTTGAATAACTGGGCAAATTCCCATGCTGGCAGTGACCATTTCTCGGTTATAGAGCCGCATCCAGGTCACAACAGGGACAGCAGCTTTCCTGTTTTGAGGGAGCGCATCAGCGGGGAGATCAGAGAAATTAATAAAGTATGTTTTGAGGACAGTGCGCAAGGGGAACGCAGAGCTCCATTCAAAGCACAATGGCAGGATTACGGTCTTAGCATGAGATGAGCAGGAAATCAGATGGTTTCGAAGCAAAACAGCCTGAAATTGCCTGATTATCCTAGCTTACAGGCTCGCTTCTCTCAGATGTGCCTCTTTTTGCTTTCTGTGTATATGAATTGAATGGCAGTGAAAATAATAGCATTAGTCCTCACAGCTGTCTGATTTGTTTCTCTCGCTACAGGAGAATCTCCAAACGCTGGGTTCGGAGATCGAACGACTAATTAAACAGCAAAGGGTACCAGATGACATAGCCGGAAGGAAGTGAAGTCAGTCGAGGGGAAGGATGTTACAATAAATAGCACACACTATACGACTGAGCCCGTTACGAAATGATTTACTTTGTTTGGGATCAAAACAGTGCTCTTTTCATCAGACAAGTTCAGTCTGTTTTATACACTGGAGGCACAGTTCAAAATAAGGACTGAACTACGCTAAGGAAACTTACGGGACAAATGACTGGAACGCAAAGAGATTACCAAGAAACTGTGCCCACTTTTCTTCACGTTGTGCCCAACGTCCAACTGTCCTCTCTTCGCCGTCCCGCCTCACCTGTGCCTTGATGATTCAGTTCATCAGGTTCAGAGCAGAACTGCAGTCCTAAATCCAATGACCTGGTGTATGAAGTTGGGTAGATGAATGACTATTCTCATAAATGTGACCCCATGTTCTTTTGAAGAACGAAATGTGCTGGTCTAATGGAGACCCGTGGATTCTGCAGCTCTTTAGAGGCTTTCAGAGGCTTTTTCTCTATTCATTGCACCGCAGGTTATTGGCCGCTCCTCGTCGCTCTCATTTCCCCCTCATGCAAACGTGCCAATTAATGAATGTATTATGTAATGAGAAGGACTAATCCCACACGCTCTGACCCAGGAGTGTGGGCAACATTCCCTGTTCGAGCTGCTGCTAGGTTACCGCTACACCCGGATAGCATTATCTCTTGCAAAGCACTTAGGCGAGAGGGGCCATGCCAAAAAACACAGCTCTTGCTCTGTCTCATTATGAAGTTAAACACATTAATTTGAATGAATAACTACATCTCAGAAATGTTGATACATCTAGGGCTAGTCTTAAAGGAGCTTGCGGTTCGTTCTATCTGGATTAAGTTGTAATTAAATCAGTTTGTTACCCCCCCCCCCTTCTGCTTTTCTACCTCTGCTTAGGTTTTCTGTAGAAACAACCTTGTAATCATTTTTATTTTTATGTTCCAGCTTTTTTTTTTTAATTCATGTTTTTCTTGTGTATGACGTTCTGATGCTGCTTTTGAAGAGCCCGATGCTCCCCAGAGAAACGTAGAGTGTAAAATCCCTGTTAAATGAAGGAGACATTATAAATATTAAGGGAATAGTGCAATTTTAACCCCCCTCTTTGTTTGTTCAACTGAGCCGTAATCGCCCCGGCCAGCGTCCCATCTGAGACTCCAGCAAAATATCCCCTGTTAGCATCCAATTCCGTGGTAATGTAACCATATGGTACACAACATTGTGCAGAGTTGAGCCAGCCGATGAATTGCATCACTGGTCTGCTTCTCCTTCCGTCCCTTCTTGCAGTGGTGCATGATGAAGGATCGCCCTGTGGGATGCTGCTGATGGATTTTTTTTACGTTCACCTTTAAAGCTTATAAGGCAGATGTGTGATGATTAGCAGATCTCAGCCGGTTTACCATCCAATTTAGTGCCATTCTCAGTCTTCTGGGTTTTCTCACGTTTGAGCCGCTATTGAAAGTAAAATCATGCCCATGTGATAAAGGATTTATAATAACTTGACATACTGCAATATAAGCGTATATCATATCAGTTGTTCTAACACTGAGAGCCTGTGCTGTAGCTCTCAGCACTCCCAAATCACAAACACATTGCAGACATTCCAGAAAACGCTGAATGAAGGAAATTATGCAATGCTAGCAGAAAAATAAGCATTTACACGGAGCCCTTAATAGCGAAAAGAAGACTCTCTGATCTGTTGATAATTTCAGTGTACTTTACATTCATAATTTATTTAATGTCTCAAAATATAAGAAAGATCTCTTGGAGTATGTATGTATGTTTGTGAATGGTGAATTGGAAATGATGAGGAAAAAGAAAAAAATCATGTTGATTCTGTTTCCGGTCGGTCATTTGTGCTCTGCTTGATTGTATAGTGAGTGAAACTGCGATTATAAATTTGTAGATATATTGTACAATGGTCCAGTGTTTTTAAACTTCTGGAGTCTGCTGTATATAAGAAGTTTAAAGGGGATTAAAATGAATATTATAATTGGAAGTCATTTTCATTTGTTTTAAATTTTTAATCTATTTCCTATATAAAAATATATTTATTTTTTTAGCTATAATATTTTATTATAATTATAATTTTTATTATTTCATTACAAATATCTAATTTATTTTCTGCTACTTTTACATTATATTTAGATATGATTATATTTATATTATTTTTTTATTACTTTTAAATATTTAGGTATCTTGCATTTATGTATATTTTATTTATTTTTAAATTATATAATTTATAGATTCTATGATCTAGCAAAATTCTGGTTTCATGCATATCAACAGTGAATGATATACTGTAGGAGGATTGTTTTCTCCTCCCTAATAAAACCAACTATATTTTTGCCACCATAACTATTCTCGATTAAATGGTTGCATTTTATTACTCCATTTAATCTTGCATTTTTCCTGTTGTCTGCCGCCCTGTCAGCGCTGCTGCCCATTTTCAATGACTTACAAGACTTATGGGTCAGTGGTCACTCACTGGGTGTGTGAGTGCATAAACCTCGTGTCTCCCCCGACCAATTTTACTAACATTGCTGTAAGTAACATTATGTAACAGTAGCAGGTGATGTCCAAAACCAGCAGTTTCTGTGTACTGGGCCTTGACTTTTCGTTCCTCTTTCCCACAAAACACACAGCATTTATAGATTCTATGATCTAGCAAAATTATGGTTTCATGCATATCAACAGTGAATGATATACTGTAGGAGGATTGTTTTCTCCTCCCTAATAAAACCAACTATATTTTTGCCACCATAACTATTCTCGATTAAATGGTTGCATTTTATTACTCCATTTAATCTTGCATTTTTCCTGTTGTCTGCCGCCCTGTCAGCGCTGCTGCCCATTTTCAATGACTTACAAGACTTATGGGTCAGTGGTCACTCACTGGGTGTGTGAGTGCATAAACCTCGTGTCTCCCCCGACCAATTTTACTAACATTGCTGTAAGTAACATTATGTAACAGTAGCAGGTGATGTCCAAAACCAGCAGTTTCTGTGTACTGGGCCTTGACTTTTCGTTCCTCTTTCCCACAAAACACACAGCAACAGAAACAACAGAACACTGATATTGGGCTGTTTAACATAAAGAAAAGCTCTCAGAATTTTATTACAAAACTAGTAGTAATAATAACGTAAACTACTTTTTCGAATGCACATTGCATCTACCCCAATTAACTGATATTTTTAGGCAAACTGCCGCATTACACTGAGTACTGGAAACTCGCTTTAGAAAAGTAATTTAGGTGGTGCATTTCCTGTTGGCTTCAACCTGCACTAATAATAGACGTATTTACACAAATGGCTGAATGTGTTTATCAAACAGAAGCTCTGTCTACATGAAATGCACACAAGTTTTTTTGCCATCTGAAGAAACCTCCTACATGTACAGCAATATCATTTTGCAAACAGCTCAACTTTTAAAACTTAAACTCTGCAACTCTTCCTCTACTCCTGTCTTTTATATTGGACACTTACCCTCCTTGGTTTAAATTCATCTCGCCTGTGTGGCATTTCAGAGTCTGCTGGAGGTGTTGAGAGATAACAGGTTAAAACATTCTGTACATGGCAAAGAGCCATTGCGTAAACTTAAATCAGCGCCTGTTATTAGCACTTCAAGATAACGTGCTCCGAGACTTTTATCAACTTTGAAACCCCCAGAGAATTCATGAGCCTCGTTCAATGCTTCAATCTGCAAGGTCTTGTCGTGAGCAACAGGAATGTTTGTGAGGTTGTCTGCCCACATGTTTTGCAAATATATCTCTACGTAAATATAATCAGATTCAAATTCTTATTTTTAGAAAATAGCATTTTTTTTTCCATTAAAATGTCTTTATCTGACCGAACCTAAAAAGCACTAAACAGGACAATATTACTCGGCCAACTTACATCATGTTTCATGTCACGTTCATGTTTTTTTTTTCTTCGTCTTTTGCTAAAAACACTTTTCATTTAGTAAATATTTTGTCATATCATAGTCATCATGGCACGTCATTTTATATTGCGTCTAATTTGCCTAACGAAAATAAAGTTTTTGTTGACAAGTAGAAAATTAAACGTTGCAAAATTAAAATTCAAACACTAGCTATGTATTTACTCCTGAAGTAATATTTTAATGAGAACACTAACTATGTATTATTATTTTATTTATTTATTTGTATATTTTACACGATTCAGTGAGTTATTACGGAGTACGTAGCCTATTCACAATGTGATTTACATATTAGGTCACGTGAAACGTTAATTCGTACGAGTAAATTCACCTGCACTTGACATTTTAAAAGATTTAAGTACTTAATTGTAATATTACGTTTATGTATATTATATAGGCTGAGTTATTTAACCCTCCAGCGGTTTTACAGGATGTCCGTTCTCTTTCAGCTTCACTTCGCGTGTAGAGTTTCCTTGCTTTTTTTATTTTATTTTGTTTTATTTTATTTAAGATTATATTTTATTTAAGTCGTTTAATGGTCATGTTTTCTTCTGGTTTTCGTTCTGGTGACAAAGTAAAAAAAAAAAAAAACCTTCTGGTGTTGAGCCCAATTTCGACCCCCTGCCGATTGCCTACCTGATTGCCTAATCCTAACCCCTCCCCCACACCTACTCCTAAACCTACCAAGCCTAGGGGGAGTAATAATCTGGCGGACGGGCAGGGTGGTGGTGGGCGGTCAGAACTGGGCACAACACCGGTGTTGTGCCGAATTCTGCACCCCTGCCAGTTTAGTGTCATAAATCTAATTTTGGCCCATAAAAAGGATTATCATAGTTTTCATCACACACTTCACAGTACAGTAAGTGTGAGTGTGGATAAAGTGACCTGAATGCGCCCTTCAGAAAAGGTGTTGAATGGAAACTACGACACTGGAATGAATGGATGGCAGCCAGGCGTGCACAGGTATATATAAGTGGATGCCGTTCTCTCAACACCTCATAAGGCAATTACGTTTTAGTATTAACCATGTAAGCTGTTGGCCAACTTGAGAGGGAAACAATTAATGTTTTATCTCCATGATGTGCCCTTGGCAGCCATTGGCTGACATAAAACAACGTGACCAAGTGACCCTTAACTGAACGAAAGATGTGTAATGGCAGTCAAAGCTCAGAAAACTTTTTGAACTTGCCCACCAACTGCTATTAATAGACACTTAATGTTTTTGAAGTAAGCAAATGCACCTTTCACTGATCACAGTGAGCTAATCCTTTCTATTTACAGGTCAATGTGCGTTTCAGTGCGATTCTCCTGATTTGAGCACAGCAGCATTTGAGCCTCCAAGCAAATAAAAGCAGGCCCACATTGGGTCATTATGTAAAGAGTCATCAGAGAATGATAAACTAAGAATAATCTTTCTGATTAATGAAGCAGATTCAGTGCTGATAAAAAAACCAAAGCCCAATCACATGTGCAGCATTTGTTTCAACACAAGGGCCCTCATCTGTCATGTCTGTCCAGATACATATTCCTGCCAAGCAAACGGTTACTAATATCAAGGTGACATGCAGCTAGGAGCGTATTCATGATGTGGGCAGTGTTGTTGTTGTGAAATGCTGCTCTGTTGTATTAGCACAGGTAATCACATTTAAAGGGGTCATATGATGCGATTTAAATTTTTCCTTTCTCTTTGGAGTGTTACAAGCTCTTGGTGCACAAAGAAGATCTGTAAAGTTGCAAAGACTAAAGTCTCAAATCCAAAGAGATATTCTTTATAAAAGTTAAGCTTTGCGCTTGTGCGCTGTGTGTTTCGTTGTGAAAGCGAAACTACTTTGTTTGGCCTTCCAAAAGAAGACGATATCCGCTTCGTCATGCCCGATGAGCTTTGTAAAAATCGACGCGTTTCAGAAAGGCGGGGCAGAGAGGAGAAAAAATAATGTTTTTTTTAACCTTAAACCGCATAAACACATTTAATTAAACCAAACACACAAAATAATGTTCTTTTTAGCAGCATCATATGACCCCTTTAAATAAGGTTCATTAGCCGAAGCGATACGGACATATTGTGTTCTGCAAACCTGAGGCGGTTTTAAATGTGAGAGGGCTCTGGGGATAGCTCAGAGCAGTAATGCATTTTAAAGCATCCAACCTCTTGTAATTAATAGCACACAACTGTTAGTTCAAATAAAATGTATTACCTAAAAGCTTTTTTTTCGAAGCACAAGGCATTTGACATCTGGTTATATCTGATTTTTCTAGAAGGAATGAAATGATACAAAACAGGGCCTCAAACTGTTTTTGTATAAAGGTCATTTTTTTTAATAAGGAAAAGTATAATTATATTATAAACAATATATTATAAATAATTTTAAAATGCAATTTAATATATTTTAAAATGTAATTTATTCCTGTGATGTCGAAGCTAAATCTTCAGCCATTTCTCCAGTCTTCAGTGTCACATGATCTTTCAGAAATCATTCTAATATGCTGATTTGATGCTCAAGTAACATTTCTTTTTATTATCAATGTTGAAAGTAGCTGTACTGCTTAATATTTTTGTGGAAACCGCGATACATTACCATTTTAAAGTTTGGGGACATTGCATTTACTAGAAAATAGGAATTTGCTTTTATTCAGCAAAGATGCATTAATTTGATCAAATGTGGCAGTAACTTTTATAATGTTACAATTTTCTATGTCAAATAAATGCTGTTCTTTTGAACTTTCTATTCATCCAAAAATCCTGAAAAAAAATTGCATCACAGTTTCCAGAAAAAAATATGAAGCAGCACAACTGGTTTCAACATTGATAATGATAATAAATGTTTCCACAGCACTAAATCAGCATATTAGAATGATTTCTGAAGGATCATGTAATGATTCTGAATGATGCTGAAAATTCAGCTTTGCCATCACGGGAATAAATTACATTTTAAAATATATTAAACTAGAAAACAGTTATTTTAAATTGTAATAATGTTTCACAATGTTACTATTTTTACTGTATTTCAATCAAATAAATGCAGCTTTAATG